TCCCAGGGAGATGGTTCTGGAATGGATCCTGGGAGGTCCCGAGCCCATTAGAGCATCATTTCTCTGTTCAAGTCTCACGCTAGCCACGACTCAAGCCTCAGCCATGAGAGTGGATTAGGCAAAGGGGCAGACTTCTCCCACTCTCCAAAAACCATATGGGATATGTTCCTCTTTGGGAACCTCCAAAGAACCCAAGGGTTCCAGTTCCTAATGCCTTCCCTAAATGTTTCCCCTCCCCAAGGTGAGGGATGGGGGTGATAAGGAGTGTGGCTCACACCTGCCCATCCTGCCCATCCAGTGGGAGGGGTGGCTAGCATCAGGCTATCCGGGGAATCATGGACTGAGGTCAGGAGGACAAAGAAGAGGCAGGTGGGACCTGGGGGAGGGTAGTGAGGGTGGTGGGACATGGCAGGCCAGGACTGGCCTCTTGCCAGGGCATCTGAACTGGGGAGAAGTGTCTGTGGGTTTGGGCCTCTCCCCACCCAAGGAAACCTTAGTCAAATAAACAAACAGCCAACACAGCTGCTCCTGTGCTAGAGGCCAGGGCAGTGAGGAGAGGCCGGCTGAGGTGGGGATGAGGAGAGGGCAGGAAGGCTGAGCAGGCCTCTCACCCTGGGGGCAGTTGGCGGAAGAGTTTGGAACAGGGCGGGGAGCACGCTGGTGGTTTGGAGCAGGAAGCTCGGGCCTGGGGTGGGTGCTCTGTGCTTGGCTGCTTCGAGGAAAGGGAAAGTATCAAGTCAGGCCCACTCTGATCACTGCCTCTTCTGAGGGAGACTCCAAGTCCCCAATACCCTTTCTTTGGCTCAGGGTCAATCAGATCAATCAGACAGACAAGGGGCTCTCGTCCTTGTTGCTCTGGACCTCCAGCCCTGCTCCCAGGCTATGACCCTGGGCCTTGTGGCTGAAGAAGAAGTCTGGAGCCAAATCCCCCAAGTTCAGAAGTTCTCAGCAGAGGAACCGGGGGAGGCAGGCTGGCATCTGTCCTCTCCAGAACCTGATATTCCTCCTCCTCTCCTTTGCCTGGGAGGGGAGCGGCCCAGCCAGAAGTGAGGGCAGCACCACACCCCATGCTCTGTCCTTCTACACATGCAGAGACATTTGACCGTTCTCTTCCGGGGGGACACGTCCCAAGAGTATGAGAGAGTTCGGAGAGACACACATGCAGACTTAGTGGCAGAGATGGAGAGAGGTAAAGACAGGAAGACAAACTCATAAGATGCCACACAATCAGGAGACATAGAGCTGAGAGATAAGGAGAGAGACTGTATGTGTGGGGAAGTGTATGTGCGTATGCGCGCGTGTGTGTGTGTGTGTGTGTGTGTGTGTGTGTGTGACAGAGATTGAAGGGCAGAGACACAGAGGAAAAGAAAGAGGAGCACCTGGGTGGCTCAGTGGTTGAGCATCTGCCTTTGGCTCAGGTCATGATCCCGGGGTCCTGAGATCGAGTCCCACATCAAGCTCCCTGCATGGAGCCTGCTTCTCCCTCTGCTTATGTCTCTGCCTCTCTCTGTGTGTCTCTCATGAATAGATAAATAGAATCTTCAAGAAAAAAAAGAGAGACTTAGAGAGGGACAGAGATGCTCCTCCAAAGAAAAGGAAAGAGAGAGAAAGACCGAAAAAGAGATGGCTTTTCTCTCTCCAGAGACTGGGAGAGAGGAGGGACGGATGGAAATGTCAGGCATCAGAGCAGGGGAAGGCCCAAGCAGGGGACACGGGGACAGACAGGCTGAGAGACTCAGGGCCTAGGGACACTCAGGACAGACTTGGAGGTGGGGGACAGAGGAGCTGAATGTCAATGCAATGGGGTTTGCAGGGAGTCCCGGGAGGGCACTGCTGCCGTCTTCTATCCCCTACACGAAGCACTGTAGGCGTCTGGCCCCCAGCCACCCTCAAGTCAGCCAACCCTTGGCCACTGAAGCTGGCAGGTCACCCAAGGTGAATGAAAAGTCACCGATCGGGGAGGGTGTGACTGTGGCTGCAGTGGAGGCCCTCGGGTGGCCCAGGTGCCCATGTCAGCCTGGGCCAGTAGGGGCTCCATCCCCGAGATTGCACTTGGAGCCGGGTGTAGGGGGTGCAACTGTACACAGCGCCATCTGCGAGTTCACGTAGTGGGCATGTGTGCCGGGCTGCGCAAGGGTGTCTGCGTGTGAGTGTGCCTGTGTCCAGTTCCATCAAGTATACTTCCCGGCGCCAATGAGGCCAAGGCGGCAGGTTTCATCCTCAAAGAGCCTAATCGGAGTCAATGAGCGTCAGAGATGGCCACAAAGAGCCCATGCGTCTCTCTCCTCTGAACAGACGGTATGCCCAGGTGCCACAGGGCACTCAACGGTAGTTGAGACCAGTGTGCCATTCATGCCCACCGGGGATGACTCCCACTGTCTGGCCAGCTGGCCCCCACACTCCTCTCCAGCCAAAGCCCCAGATCCAGACTTATGGGAGGACCCACGTTAGGGACGCACAGCCCCTTCCTGGCTGCGGGTGCCTCTCTCTCAGAGAAGGGCAGCGGGAGGGGTGGTGGGGTGCATCCCTGAGCACCCCCAGTCTTGTATCCCTCCCCCTCTGCTGCTGCAGCTCCGCTGAGCTCCTGAGGCCCAGAGAGAGCCCACACCCTCCCCGCTCTCAGGAGCCAAAGCAACTCTCTCCTCTCATCCATTCCCTGTTCCCTCGTAAGCGTCACAGGACATTTGAAAAAACTGTCCCAATTTTGGGGTGGAGAATGAGGTTAGCGAGCCCAAGCGGGGACTGCTCATCAGTGACAGCTGACAGTCTTCATTTCACCTTGAAGCTCCTTCCTGGTCTAGATGGGTGTGTCCTAAACCCAGTTTTACTGTGGGGGGAGGGGGTTGCTACTTTCCTGGGGGACACAGAGGGTAGGAAGGGAATTCACCAAATAGCAGTTTCAATACGGGTGCGGCCAGGCTCACCCCAAACACTTGTAGGGCTGGGGGCAAGAGAACAAGTGGGGGCCCACATATACATGTCTAAATATTTAATAGCTAAATAAAAGGTAGAAACCGAGCCAACAAACTCTTAATTAAAATATGTTCTACTGTCCTGTCTTGACAAGGACACTCTCATAACAACCTGGAAGACCACATTCGGGTTTAGATCTCTCCGCCTCCCGGGAGTGTTTTGGGAGAATGACGCTGTGCAGGGAGAGCTCCTTTCTGCCCCAGAAGGGACTTAGGTGCACGCATGTGGGTGGGTGCCCAGCTTCACATCCTGGTTCCGCCCTCATGCCTTGCAAACAGCTGCCCCTTAGCCATTATCAGGTGCCCTCAGCTTTAGGGGTGCACACACCAGTGGCAGAGCCTGCACTGGGGATAGGTCCAGGGTAGAGGCTTGCATGGGCTACCAGCAAGCGGGTGACCATCTGGGCAGGGACACCCCCAAGCCACAGGTCTGGGGAATGTGATCCTGAAGGAGATGTACAGGCTCATTCCCTGAGCCTCTCACTCCACAGGGAGCGGGAGGGCCAGAGGAGGATGTGAGTGGAGCCCTTGAAGTCACTCAGGGTGGACACAGGCACTCCCTCCCCTGCCCAGGTTTAAGGGTGCTTACTGGATTCAGCCTTCCCCAGCAGCCTCCAGAGCTCGGGCCAGCAGCTGAAGCTATCTTTCCAGTGGAGGGCAGCTTGGGCCACCCCCCCCCAACAGGATTTTCAGTCACTTGGATTATTTACCTTCCTGGAAAAATTTAGTGCGGCTTGATACCAACTTTGGATTTCTGGAGGTGGGGAGGGCAGGGAGGTGATGACAACGGGGGCTTTTTTTTTTTTTTCATTTGGGTCTCTAAGTCACTCTGTTCCCTTGAGGCAAAGCCCCCGGCTCCTGCTGCCACTGGCCCCTCCCCCATTGGGGCCCCCTCTTCACCCTGGAGACAAAAAAATAGGGTGAGGAAAAGAGGGGCCTTGGGCAGCCCAGCCAGGTCCAGCTGAGATCCAGGGACCAGCACAGGGCAGGGGCTGGTGGTGGTGGTGAAGGGTGGTGCTCTCTCTGGCCAAGTTTAAAAAAAACCTTCCACCCCCACTCAGCACCCCCCCCCCCCCCCCCCCCCCGCCGCAGATCGGCTTTGCTGTCCTACACTTGAGGGGACACTTATACTTGTTGAGCTCTCAGCAGGTGCCAGACACTCTGCTAAGTGTACTCCATTCGTATTCTCATTTAATCCTTGCAGCCACCCTATGAGGTGGGTTCTATTATTATTATCCCCATTTTACAGGTGGAGAAGCAAACTCAAAGAGGTTAAGTATCTTGTCCAAGGTCACACAGTGGGTGCAGGTGATAGAACTCAAGTCTAACTGACCTCAACAACCCCACTTTTTCCACTATAGCACTCTGCCTCCCAGAAGCAAGAAGTGAGCACAGAAGCAGAAGGGATGAAGGTCATATACGAAAAAGAACTTTCTGACAATGAGGGTTTGGGTGGTGAGAGGAGACAACTGAATGGGGAAACTAGACATACACAGGAAGCCTGTGTTGGATCTCTATCTGTCCCTGGGCTTGTGATGGCCTCTAGAAGGTCTGTGGGGTCCTGGCTGGATCCAGACGGCAGCATCCTGACCTCCCTTTTATCCACAGTCTGGAATCCTCTGCTCTACCCCAGTCCAGCACCAATGCCCAAAGTCTGACTCTCCCTTGTGGCTCTGAGCACATCTGAGCTGTCAGCCTTGGACCTCTTCTTCCAGGAAGCCTACCCTGAGTACTAGGAGGCAGGACTCCTTTCCTACAACCCAAATCCCAATACAGAGGGTACAAATGCACCCTGTTTCTGCAATAAGACTCTCTTCGGTGATCACCTTCTCCACCTGGCTCTGGAACATGAACACAGAAAGTAACTAGGCAGTCCCCAGGCTCTCTGGGCTCCCCAGACCATCTGGACGATCCCTTGCTCCCTCAATCCCCCTCACCCATGCACATCTGTACCCAGGTGTAACAAATGATGCGGATGCCCTGGGCTTACAGGAAAACCCAGGTCCCAGCTCAGCTAAGCACTCTTACCTCATTTACCCACAGGACAGAAGCTGTTTGAGTCACTCCGTCACTCCCTAAGGGCGGGGAGAGGATGCTGCACTTGGAGGGTCCTTACCCAGAGCACTGTAGTCACTCCCCTCACCCTGCTCTCCTCCAGAAAGCTGAGTGCCTAATGCCCGGCCCTGTCCCTCCTCACCCCTCAGAGCCCACCCCGGCATCAGGGATAACCAGCCAGGAGCCTCTAAACTTCTCCAGAGTTTAGTTCCACCCTTTAGATGCCCAACATCCCTGCGCAGAGCCAAAGGGTTGTCCTCATTGTCCCATGGGGGTCCCCCAGTTTTGAGACCAGGGAAGAGGACAGGTGGAGGGGGCTGCCTTGATCTCCCGCCCTTGCCCTCGAGGTCCTCAGCGTGGACCAGCCCGCGTCGCTGACTTACCTGCAGGGCAGAGACGGAGCCCGCCGCGGCCACCTGCTCTCGCTGCGCTCGGGAGCGCGGGGATCCGGGCTGGCCGGGGAGGGGGCGGGCCCGGGAGGGGCGGGGCGGGGCCCGGAGGGGCGGGGCCTGGGAGGGGGAGCCGCGGCCGAGACCCGCCCTGAGTCGCGGTCGGGGCGGGTGGGCGGGTTCGTTCAGGTGGGCAGAAAGCTAGGAGAGCTTCTGGGCCACCAAGGAGGGTCTGGAGCTCTGGCTTACTGAGAACTGAAAAGGTAGGATGCCTGCGTCCCGAGGACCCCCTGAAGCCCCCTGCTTCGGGCAGCCTAGCCCACGTGGCTCCACGTGAAGACCCTTCATCAGAAGAAGCAAGCCTGGGAACCTCTCCTGGCCTGAGTTCCCCCTTCCATCCTAGCTCAAGAAAGTTCTCCCAGCCTGATAAGGTGGGTGCGAGATAGGTCACCCCCTCTAAAGTCAGGGCCTCCCATCCAGGGGTCAGCTATGCAGGGGTTCAGACCACTGAGGGGACCACTAGATGCCCAGGTTTTTATCCTCAATCCATCTCTCCCTGCGACACTATCCCCTGCCCCCAATGCCAGCTTGGGGCCCCTCAGCTGTCACCGTTTAGCCCTGGAATGACAGGCGTCCAGACTCCGTGCGTTCAGCTGCATTCAAGGCCACTGAGCTTAGCACCCCTGGGCCCCTGCCCCCCTCCCTCTGCCCCCAGTCGCTAATTTTATTGACCTGTAAAAGGCACGTTGCTGGCAGGGGAGATAACTGAAGGTGAAGTGGGGAGTGGATGGGCAAAAGACCAGCCGCAGGGAGCAGAGATGTGACAGCAGAGAGAAGGGTGACTCCTGGCACCAAGGCTGAGGGACACCGGAGATTAGGAGGAGGACAGGCCCCGGGAAAGGGGTGCTCTCTGGGGCAATGGAGGCCAGAGAGACTGGAACTGGAATTTCAGCCTCAACCAGACAAGAGACAGGAGAAAGGAGGTACTGGGGACAAGAGTACCTTGTTTGTCTACCCCCTTAGGCAGGACCAAGGATGTAGCAGGAGGGAAGGGGGTTAGATGGTGGGAAGGACTGCCATTCTGCTCTCAAATCTCTGCCCTAGCCCCCTCCCTTTCTCTTGAAGGTGACTCCTGCCTGCTGGGCCTCTTACTACAGAAATAGCCCTTTCCCTGAAGAATCAACCTAGATCTTGCCTTTCTCTTCTTTCTTGTTAAAATGAGAACAGAAAATCTAGGCCTTTACAACTTCCCCCACTCCCATGCCTACCTGAGCACCATCCCTCAAGTCTTGAATCTCAGCCTCTCCCCAGCCCAGGGAGGTGACCTGGGGAATTAGGGGAAGATGGAAGGGGTACTGCTGGGGTTGGAGCTTCTCCAATGAGATGGGGGGGGGCTGGGGGACCTCACATTATGAGTGCCTCTCAAATTTAGACTTGTGATGCTCTCTCCAAATAAGGTTACATGGTACCCATAAAGAGGCGTGGTTAAAAAAACCCCAAACTTTTAACCTTAAAAAATATACCACAAAGCAGGTCAGGGGAGGGGTAAGAGGAGGGGAGGGGTTACTTGGGAACAGGGAAACTTGTAATGGCTATGCTTGTTATCTTGATTATAGAAAATAGGCTAAAATTTATCAAGTTGTACACTATAGGTATGTACAGTGTATTTCATGTCACTTATACCTCAACAGATTTTTAAAAATACACTTTTTTTTAAAGATTTTATTTATTCATGAGAGACACAGAGACAGAGGCAGATACATAGGTAGGAGAAGCAGGCTCCCTGCAGGAGCCTGATGTGGGACTCAATGCCAGGACCCCGGGATCATGATCTGATCCCAAAGCACACACTCAACCGCTGAGCCACCCAGGCGCCCCACCATACCTTCTCTCTACAAATTTTCCACTATTTTCAACTTATGAGGAGCCTCAAAAAACAGAAGTGGCCTTATTAAGGAAGGAATGTCAAGGGGTCAAGGGAAATTTGGTAGTTGCTAGTAGAGTGTGGCCAGCATCCTGCCTCAGTTTCCCTCCCAATACGCCCCACCCCCCACCTCCATCTAGTGTCTTTGAATGTCTGTGGTATGAGGGGAACTCTGGGGCTAAGCTGTGGCCCTCGAGGTGCTTCCGCAGCGTGACAGTCTGAGCCAGCCTGGACGCCCGGGCTCCTCTGTGGCTGGTCAGCATGGTGCCCCAACTGGTGACTCAGGCAGGAGGGACTTGGCCCCGCCCCCCCAAGGTGGTGGCTGCTGTGGATTGTCCCGCCCCCTGCAGCCTGAGGTGGGCACTGCAGTGACGAGGTGCTCAGTCCAGGGAGAGGTCTGCCAGGTTCTGGGCACAGTGCTGCAGGTAGTCGAAGTCAGGCACAGGGAAGGGCACACGGGACCACTTCTTGGCCTGGACTCTCCCTCGGGGTGTCTCTAGAAGCATGCTGCGGACTTTGAGTGCTGGCAGCTTCACTGACTTGTAGATCATCTGCAGGCCCCAGGCCTAAGGGTGGAGCAGAGATGGCTGGGTTTGGGTCACTGTCCTCAGACTGGGCTTCTCACCTCAAGTTGGGGGATCTGTAAATGCGCGGCTTGTGTCTCCCACCTCAGAGCTGTCTCCCCAGTCACACTGTGGGCTCTCTAAGATAGCAGTTAGACCTCTCTCCTCCGACCGGGGGCTCCTGGGGGTAGAGCTGCTTTCCCTATCCCAGTGAGGGTGCCCTGATGGCAGAAGGCTGGGCCTCCTCTCTCAGACTGAGGACTTCTGAAGACTGGACTTAAGAGCCATGGCCCCAAACACTTACCTCCCCACAGTTCCTGCAGTGAATGGTACCCCCAGGCCTCCAGTCCTTGAAGGTTCTGTCAATGACCACCGGCCCCCGGGAGACATTGTAGTAGATCCTGGAGAGGAATGGGGGTGGCCACAGTCCTCATGACCCTGCCACCCCTGATCTCACACGCTCCAGCTTGCTGGGCCTCCACTTGGGCCTTGGGCTCTTCTGCCTGCCGAGAGGCACCGAGAGACTTCCCAGAGCCAGGAGATCCTGCCTCCAATGAGCTCTGCCTGTGCGGCCTCGCTGCATGTCCTCTGCCCATGTTCGGGCCTCAGCACAACCCATCCGGATGGTTCCAATGGTCCCCTGGCAGATCTCCCAGCTCCACCCTTCCATCCCATCCCATCCTCACTCCCAACCCACACCATCCTTCTGCCAACTGCCAGGGTGATCTTCTAAAACTGTAAATCTGACCTTGACATTCCCTGGCTCAGAATCCACCCAAGACTACTCACTGCCTGTGAGACAAGGGGTAGACTTTAGGGCCTGACCTCTTTGGCTCTCCAAAGGCTAGCCTGTCTTCTTCAGAATCTCTTCCTTCATGGTCTTTCCCATGCAAGCCAACCAGGAGCAGTGCTGGCACCTCAGGCCTGCCTGGACTCATCCCACCTTCCAGCCTGATCCGTCTTGCAAGACCTAACTGAAAAGCTGCCTCCTTGAAGGAGAGGACCTGTGTGCAGATCCTCGGCATCGTGGCCCGGCACACAGTGGCTCCCTGATAAATAATGAATGGAGGGAGGGAGGGAAGATGGGAAAAGGTTACCCTCTAGGGCACAGAGGAGGAGAGGATGGCTTCAGAGTAGATGGGACCCAGAGGGGTGGGGGTGGGGCAGGGAGCCCAGTTGAGGCCTCTCAGCATCTGGTGTCCTGAGATCCAGCTCTTGCTCAACCACACAGTGGCTGTGGTAGCCTGGACAAGTCATTTCGCCTGAGCCTCTATTTGCTCACCTGCAAAATGGGATAGCGATAAAACCTGTCTAACCAGACTCCTGAAGATACTGACTCAATGTTTGTCAAAATGCTATTTAAGCTCCCAAACCCTCAGAGCACTGTCTGGATGGGAGGAGTTCTCTGTCCCTCATCACAACCCTCCTTCCCTCCCTCTAATCCTGCCAGCCCCTTCCCCTGGGCTCACGAGAAGTTGGGGTTCACATTGACGTGGTGAGCGCCCTCCACCTTCCGCAGGTCACTTCCATGGCCCACAGCCACCATGCAGTTGACACAGAGGAGCTGCACCTGCTCGGCCAGGAACTGCTGCCGCTGGTTGTCCCGCTGGGCTGCCTGGACTGCCCTCTTGACCAGGGCTGCCCGCTGCATATCTCGGATCTGGAGCCAGAGGAGACACTGGGCAAAGCTGGGGCCTCCAAGGCCTGACCCCAAGAATGCTCTTCAGGGTCAAAGGGCTTCCAAAGACCTCAGATCATTAGGACCCAGAAGGGACTTTGCTCAACCCTCCCCGGAGCTTTTAGGAGAACTTTTAACTCTGGGGAGAAAAATAATATGGAGCAAGGGGAATGATGGGAGCAGAGTAAACTTTGTTGTCGAATCTTTGCCTCTTCTTTGGAGGATTTTGTGCAAAGCTGCTTCTTTGAATCTAACATGCGGCATCACTAATAATTATGCTGGAGTACCAGGAGTAAACGGGACCGTCCTGGGTGAGGCCTCAGGGGGAAGAGTTAAGTCCTGGTTCTGGGCTTATTTTGCATAGGTGTCAGAAGGACTCTAAGGCAGCCCTCACAGATACACAAAGTATTTGGTGATGAGGAATTAAAAGCTCTGGGCAAGCCCTGTTCCC